AATGATCCTCCTGAGCGGAGCTTCTTGGAGCATGGCAGGCACAGAATCGAGGGAACATTCCAGAATTTTTACTTTTATTTAATTGATTTTATTGATTTTATTGATTTTTTTTTTTAACAGAGAGGAAGGGAGAGGGATAGAGAGTTAGAAACATTCATGAAAGAGAAACATCGATCAACTGCCTTCTGCATACCCCGTATTGGGGATGTGCCCACAACCAAGGTACATGCCCTTGACTGGAATCAAACCTGGGATCCTTCAGTCCACAGGCAGAAGCTCTATCCACTGAGCCAAACCAGTTTCAGCAGAATTTGCACTTTTTTTTTTTTTTTCAAAATTTGCACTTTTAATAGAGTGGCCTTTTCGCCTTGCTTGCACCTTTCCCAAGTAGGTTAACCTACTGCAACTCTTTGCTCTTGGTTCTGACTGTGTGTTTTACAAAGACGCAATAGCCCAGCTGGCATGGCTCAGTGGTTGAGCAGGGACCTATGAACCAGGAGGTCACACTTCAATTCCGGGTGGGGGCACATGCCCAGGTTGGGAGCTTAATCCCCTAGGGCCAGGTGTGCAGGAAGCAGCCAGTCAAATATTCTCTCTCATCACTGATGTTTCTCTCTCTCTTTTCCACTCCCTTCCTTGCTGAAATCAATAAAAATATATTTTTTAAAATATAAAAGAAGCAATAACCTTTGTGACCTGATCAGCGTGTTTTTCTCTGCGCCTTCTTGGTCTGTGGCCTCCAAAGCCTGCCTATAGTGTACCTGGAGTCTACCACTGCATGGAGCTGATTTCCCACGGGACTCTGGGACTGGGAACCTGCATGCCATATCTCCCAGACTCCTTTGTCAGCTGGTTCTGGCGAGAGGAGGGACCAGAGAGAAGTTGGAAGGCGGGAAGAGGAAAGAAGGGACTCACTTCTAACTTCAAGATCTCCTAGACTCCCTCTGGCATCTGAGCCGCCAAAGACCCCTCCCTGCCAAACGGGGATCCAAGTCCTGAGAGCTTTCAAAGACCCAAAACAAGTTTGCAATATGGGAAAAAGGTGTTGGCTCCAAGACATGAACTTGAAAAACCAGAATGAACAAGAGTTTTATTAAATGCTTACAAAAGGTAAACTCGGCCAACTTGTAAACTGCAATTCAGCTCTCTAACAGTTTTATATAAACGCAATAAAGTCTGAATTATAAGAACAAAATGAAAAAAATATATATCTTAAAGCTCAAAAGATTTTAAAATCATTTTCCTTGATGTGTTTTACATCAAAGAAGTTATATTCCACATGGGGTGGGGTCTAGTTGAAATGGATCCATGTGGCGTGTGTGTATGTTGAAGTTGGGGCGGAGGGATGTTCAATGGTGAGGGTGGCCATGACCTGGAGGTGTCTAAGGAGCCCAAAAGAGCCTCTTACTCTATATATTCCCGTTGTACCATCCACTCTGTGCAGTGTAGTTAACATCTTATTCTGGCACTAGTTTATGTAATGAAGTAGGAAAGCAGAGACTTTGAGGAGCAGCCAAGAAAGGCTAGAGCTTTGAAGAGACTTGCTAATTCAACTCTATATGGCCTATGAGGAAACACAAGGCTGGAGTCCCAGGGTGGACTTAGGTCCAGTGGCCAAAACCTGAGTTCGTGGGTGGTTGTGTTACCAGCAGTGTTGGCTCTCAGTCCTTGAGTTCAGTAAGGAAAGAATTCAGAGCCAGGAATTCTAGCACTAGAGGAAGTTTATTTAGCATGCAAAACAAAAGTACACCCAGAAGAGAAGAGTCGAGTGGGCTGCTCAGAGAGCTGCCTGGGCTTTTCAGAGAGAGTTGCAGAGGCAGAAGAAGTGAGCCAGCTGGGCTGCGTGGACCCAGGAGACAACTTCACAGAGTCAAAAGAAGGACCATTATAGATTAGAAGAAAGCAAGCAAGAATACACAACTGAGGAAGGAAGGTGTGGGCATGCTCTAGAGAGAGAGTACCCACTGGTCTTTTGTCTAAAGAGGTTTTTTATTTTTATACTTTTTAAAAATATATATATTTTATTGATTTTTTACAGAGAGGAAGGGAGAGGGAAAAGAGTTTTTAACCTGTTTTCTAAAGGCAGGAATTTTAGGAGGTCTGGGGAAGGGGTTGTTCTCAATAGAATATTCATCAGCTTTCCAGATATGTCCTTTTAGGGTCTTGGTCGGTGCTAGGGTAGGGAGGGGGTCATTGGTCATTGCATCTGGTCCTGATGTCAGCCACGGCATCATTTTGTCTGATTTTGCTGCTTTCCTGGGCCTGGAGCTGAAACACAACTGAGGACAAGATGTTATCAAAACTCTGTCTCTGTGGTCAACAGAATCAAGGCTTTGGTCCTCCGATTAGTTGATGCTAGTCAGAGCCTCATTGTCCTGAGGGCTTAATGCTTGGGGGAGTGGCTGTGCAAGGGAGAAGGAGGCAGGTGGGTGAGGGTGCTGGATCAGGTCAGTTTGAATCAGCCATCTATCTCAGTTTCCCCATTCCACTGGCCAAGGAATTTACCTGGCTTCTTACTATCCTGACAGCTGTTGATATGTTGTATGTGTTTAGAGTGAGGAGTCACAGGGACCCTAGAAAGTAGGCAGAGTAGCCAGCTGTCACCCAGGGTCATTGCTCTGGTATCACCCATGGCCTGGCAGGCCAGAGAAGAACAGCTTTAGTTCTTAGACTAAATTTATCAGCCTTCCATCCCCCACTGCTATTTTCCCAACCCTGAAGTCTTATCTCCACTTTGTACCTAAAGTCTTCTTTCCGGGCCATGACTTCTGACATGTCAGCGTGCCTAGGAATCACAGAGTGTGCCTATGAAAAGGGCACCTTCTGGAACATCCTCGTGATTCTGTGCCTGCCATGCTCCGAGAAGCTCCGCTCGGTAGGATCATTTCTCTCTGCCCTTTGCTCCCAAAGCCAGTTCAGAAATTCGGGAGCTAGAGACAAGTTCGTTCCTGCTTCCGTTGGTCCAGCGAGGAAGACAAATGGCATTTGAAGTGAGCAAAAGAAATGACTGAGGATGAAGGAAGAACTAAGGGGGCAGAACTGGCTTTCATTGAGAAGCAGGCTCAGCTCCTGGAGCTGAGAGAGGGTGTGTGTGTGTGTGTGTGTGTGTGTGTGTGTGTGTGTGTGTGTGTTGGGGGGGGGGGGAGCCTAAACTGGGAATCCCCAATTACAAAATCCTGATTAAAAAATGTATTTTGCAGCTCTTTCTGCTCCCCAGCTAGATTGGAATCACCATTTGCACTCTGAAACAGATTCTGGCCATACCATCGTGTTCTCTCCAATTTGCATTGTAAGCCTTTGGTTTTATTGTGTGATTAAAGTCTTTGTTTCCTATTTAAAGGAAAATTGGGGAAAACAGAACAGAAGAGGGAGCTTGGGGTTTGTTTTTGGACCTGGACACCCTTCTGTGAAAACACCACATTTATCGGAGGCCAGAGAAGGACCATAAAGATAAACTGACTATCATACTTTTAGGGGGTCTGCAGAGAAGTACATCAGCAAGGATCTGAGGGTGCTGGCCTGGCTTTCTTTCCCCTGTTTTGGGTTCCATGGTGCAGACCAACATGAAAGAGACTAGACTGGGTGTTTCCAGTCCTGTGATTCCACTCAGGACCTCAGAGTGTGTTCTCCCAGACTGTGCCTTATCTTGTCCCCTCCCTGCTGGCGTCATCCGCCGCTCCTGGCTCCTCTCGGCTCCAGGCTCTACCTCCCCATCCAATCTGGGACTAGGCTGCCTGCCCAGCTCCGTTTCTGCAGTTCGGTTTACCAACATCCTGGACGACTAGTGAGGAATAGGGAGCTCCAGGATCAATGAGATAATAGGGGAGGGAGTCAGGGAAAGCCCTATTTCTGACTGGAGGGGATATCAGGATGAAGCCCCTGAATCTGGAACCCAGGGCCAGACAGGGGATGCCTGAAGGAGGCATCCATGTCCCTCAGGGAGTCCCTTGTCTTCGTGATGATGGTGACAGGATCTAACCATGTGGGAAAATAGCGCTGGTCCCAGGAAAAAACAACAACAAACAACCACAACAAAAACACCTTTAAATGAACATAAATAGATCTTGCAGGGGGAAAAAATGAAAAGAAAAAGAAAAATGGCCGAAACCAGTTTGGCTCAGTGGTAGAGCATCGGTCTGCGGAATGAAAGGTCCCGGGTTCGATTCCAGTCAAGGGCATGTACATTGGTTGTGGGCACATCCCCTGTGGGGGATGTGCAGGAGGCATCTGGTCGATGTTTCTCTCTCATCGACGTTTCTAGCTCTATCTCTCTCCTTTCCTCTCTGTAAAAAATCAATAAAATATATTAAAAAAAGAAAAAAAGAAAAATGGACAAGGATGGTTTGGATGGGGAAAAATGCATAAAGGCAGGCAGCCATGTGTGTGTCCTCACTTATTATGCCTCATTAACATGCAGAGCCGTCTCCAGCCGGCTATCATTAAATGCATCAGCCAACACACGTGGGAAGTTTTACCTGATGAGAAAAAAACGCTCACACTTGTAAACCCAGGCCCCCACAGAAGATTTCCTTCTGCAAGATTGTTCTCGGCTTAAAACTTTAAAATAAAGGAAAGCCAAAAAAGAAAGAAATAAAGAAAAAAAATAAATTTACTCATGCCCGGGCTGACACAAAGGGGTTAAAAGTTAAGTGGAAGTGAGCTTGATGATGGGGCCTCTACATAAACTTGAAGGAGGCATCTGCCCCCACCCCTCCACCCCTATCCCGCCCAAACCTCCACCTTTTTTGGCCCCGAAGGCGGCAACCCCAGCCTTCCTCCCCGCATCCCCCGCCTTTGGGACCGTGCAGGGAAGCTCACGTTAGTGGCAGCCAAGGCGAGGGGCCGGCCCTGCCAGGACCAAAGAGGGAGGGGAAGGGAAAAGCAAGGAATCGCCCACCCCGCTCGCTCCCGGGAGGAGGGGCGGCGTCCGAACGAGCGAGCGAGCGAGCAAGCAGCGCCTCGGGCTCCGTGCATCTCCCGGGAGCCGGCGCGCGGGAAGGATGCTGGGCCGCCGGGGCGGGATGCCGCGGGGCTGGACCACAGCGCTGTGCCTGCTGAGTCTGCTGCGTGAGTACCGCGCGGGGCCGCCGGCGGGACGTGGAGGGCCGCCCGCTCAGCCAGCTGCACGCGGGGAGGGACGGGGAAGGGGAAGGGACCCTCGCCTGCATCCAAGCTCCCAGGCCCGTGGCCGCTCCCGGCTTTGGGGAGCGAGGGGGGCCGTGGGAACCGGGCCCGGCCCCTCACCTGGGGATCGGGGCGGGGGCTGGGCGGGGAGGAAGGCGGCCACGCCGCGAGTGGGGACTCGCCCAGAGGTCGGCCCGCGGGGAGCCCTCGGCGTCCCCGAGTGGGACTGCGAGACTCGCTGGAGTTGCCTCTGATCTAAAGCCCCTTGACGGTGCTGGGTCTCTCCATGTTACCAAAGGTGCGGAGCGCAAAGTTGGAGAGAAGAAGGGAGGAGAGAGGGGAGGAGGGAAGCAGCCGAGTGTTGCAGTGATGAGTGATTCTGGAAACGGGGCCGAGCTGTGGGGGGCAAGGGGGCCAGGCGCCCACCCAGCACTGGGTCGGGGGCGGGGGTGGGGGGGCGGAATTAAGACATTAAGGAAAGGGAGCAAAGCCACCTGGCAGGAGGCCCCGGAGGCAGGCGGAGTTGGGCGAGGAGGGGAGTTTGGAGCAGAGAACAGTCCGTGCAAAAGTCCTTGCCTTGGATCGCGAAGTGAAGTTACAACTCGCTCTTCAGACACCCACACCCATTCCCCCCGCAGAGAAGGTGGAGGTGGTGGATGGAGCTTGTTCTCCTCGCTGCCTCCCTCTCCCCCCACAGCTCCTCTCTCGGGCACCAGCTCAGGAGTGTTAGGTCTGGGGATTTTCCTTCCCTGCCCCTCCTCTCCAACTTCAGAAACCAGTGGACAGGTCAGAAGACTGCGGACGCTTCTCCTCATCCACAATGCTCTTATTTCTTAAGGTCTTGCTCTCAATTTCCTTCACACACACACACACACACACACACACACACAGCAAGGCACTCAGTAAATATTCCTTTCATCTGGGGATAACATTATCTCGTTTCATTGCACTTAGAAGGTTTTAAACATTGTAACTTGTCCTCCCTTTTGCTCCGGATTCTGCCCCCAGGGCTCCCCATTCCCTCCTCTTCCTAAAGGCAAGCAGGAGTGGGGGGCGGGGGAGGAGAGCGGTCTGGGCCAGCCAGCGGGGGCCCCACTCTCAGCCCCCTTTGCTGTCCCTCTCTGGGGCCACCCCGCTGGAGAGCGACTCCTTCTGGGCCTGAGAAAGCTCTGAGTTGGGCTCTGGATTGACCTGTTTGGCAGCCCCAGAATTGCCCTTTGGGGCAGGGAAAAAGTCCCTGAAGTGTACAAGCCCGAATGAGGGGATCCCCCCTGGGTGAGTGGATAGAGGCTCTGATTCAGATCAGCTGCTCCTCTGCTCTGACTCCACAGCTTGTGCTGATGGCCCGGTCCTGGGCCCACCCTCAGCTGGCCGGTCTCCGTCTTGTCTCGCCTGCAGCAGTGGAGGTGGTGGGAGCAACTTAACCTCTTCCAAACCTCAGGGTGGCCCGTCGAGAATTTCAGTCTGGGGGTGAGGGGTGCGACATGGGTCCCGGTCCTCAATCTTGCCAGATTGCGTGGGCCAGTTTGGCACCTCTATGCCTTTCTCAAGAACTTGCTAGGGTGTGTCTTTGTTTTAAGAGCAGGAGTCACTTTCTGTCCTGGGGTATATGGTGGAGCGGATGACATGAGTGACTGGACCTCGAGATGCTAACAAAGGGACGGTGCGGAAATTCTTGTGAAACGTAGAGCAGAAAGGGATGCTGTGGCTGAGCTTTTTCCTGTCCCTGCAAGAAATAGGAAGGCCTGGGGGTGGCCCTCGCGGCCCCCCTGAAGTAGACTTCCTTTGTTGGGAATGGAGTGGCTCCGGGCTGAGGCGGTGGCGAGAGGCCACCAGGAAGCGTTGCCACCCCACCAGCTGGGAAGAGGAGCCCCGTTTGTCAGATCCAGGGTTTCCCTCAAGCAGCCAGTCCCACCCCTTTGCATTTCTCTTCTTCCTCTGGGTCCTTCTGTGCCTGCAGACCCCACACCCATATCCTGTCTGGGGCCACATGGAAGGGGGGGGGGGGAGAGAAGAAAAGGAAAAGAATTTTATCAGATATTTTCCAGAGGAGAGAGGACTCCACCCTTTGAGTCTCTGCCACATGGTGACTGAGGAGGAGCAGCCGGAGGACCGGTGACTAATGCAGAGGTCCCCAGGACTTCTCCCTGTAGGGCCAACCCTGCTGCCAGGACCCTATGCAAAAGCAAGTCCTTGGTAGCATTCCTGGTGGACAATAAACACCGGCCACGGGGACCTCTTTCTTATCCCTTTGGCTCCACCTCCTGGGAGCCTCATTCACTATCCTCATGGCCTCCATTCTCTCTTTGTCTTCAAAAGCTCAGGGCAAAGGGTGCCAAACTGCAGCCGATAAACTCCTGCCAGTCTTACAAAAACAAATAAGAAGGAGGGACAAATTCCCCTTCTTATGGTCTCACGGCCCCAATTTCCTTTAGGTCCTGGGCAGGCAAGCCTGGGCTGACGTTCAGGGCTGGATGGTTACCCAGCTCCACCCTGAGGGGGCCTCCCTCTCTCATTGACTTTGCTGGACCTAACTCAGGGGTCGGCAAACTCGTTAGTCAGCAGAGCCAAATAGCAACAGTGCAACGATTGACATTTCTTTGGAGAGCCAAGGTTTTTAAACTTCTTCTAACACCACTTTTTCAAAATAGACTCGTCCAGGCCGTGGTATTTTGTGGAAGAGCCGCACTCAAGGGGCCAAAGAGCCGCATGTGGCTTGTGAGCCACAGTTGCTGACTGCTGACCTAACTAAATGGTGTAGTGTGGAGAACTGAAAATGTGAAGGCAGGGGAACAAAACACCACCCTCCAGAAGAAAAAGCTCAGAGTCACTAGGACAGAATTTCCATATTTTTTCTGGGCTTTGACTGCTTTAATGGGAACATTTTCTTGCTCTGCAGCAAAGAAATAAAAGCATGTCATCTATGACTTTTAGTCCCAAAGCCCCCAACTTTACTAAAGGGAAAAATGTGTGTGTCTTGGGGGGGAGAGGGGGTACATCCTGGGACTTATGCGCCAGAGCCCACCTGGGAATGAGACACTCCCCTCAGTAAAGAAGGGAAAAGGCCTTTGGCTTACCTGGGAAGTCTGCTATTTGTTGATTGGAGAGTACTGGGGGGACAGAAAACCTATGGCTGACACCTACAGGGGAGCAGCATCTCTAGGTAGCCGGTTCCATTGTTCAAGAAAATTCCTTAAATAGTCTTTGGATGAGACAACCTAGACCCCCTGGACAAATTTAGGATGTGCAATTCCACAAGAGGTTGACTCCCTGAGCACAAGAGAAAGTAGAACTTTGTATTTGATGAGCCTGAGACAAAAGTCTGAAATACTCCAGAGGACAAGGAGAGAGAGAGAGAGAGAGAGAGAGAGAGAGAGAGAGAGAGAGAGAGAGAGCCTGGAACAGTGGAGGGACAGTGGAGGTTGGAAAAGACCTGGCTAAGAGGCCTTAGAGTATGCTATGGATCTTTAGTACAGTCTGTCTAGAATTTCAGTTTTGTCATCTCTTTTGGGCTGTGCTATAATCTGCTCCAGGCTCTCAGGCCTTCAGTAAGCACAGGCCAGTCTGTGTTAGCAGTCTCCTGGGGAGAATAAGGAGTGGGTGCTTGGCTAGCCCAGTGCAAAGTAGTGCAAACCAAGAACTGCTGCTGCCTGAGGATGGGGAGGCACAGATCTTCCATCCGGGAGTCAATGGCACCCAGGAAAAGGCAGGAAGAGGTGACTGGGAGAAAGGTAGGCCCCAGAGGAAGCTCAGGATATTGGTGTTCCACAGAAAGTGGATGGGGTTCTAAGACACATCATTTAAATAATATAGGGAAGTGTCAGTATACAGGGCACACTCAGGCCACAGACACTTGGTTTAAATTCAAACATTAGCATGGCCTCTGATGGATAGGGCGGCATCAGCCCAGCTCTTTGTTCTGATCCTGAATACTTCCAGGAAAGGTGGGAGGCTCACCACCTTGCAGTTCATTCCATCTTTTTAAAACAAACCTCCTTATTTTAAGTTTTTCTTTGTATTGCCGTGAAATTAGCCTTCCTGCAACTTCTAGTCATTAATTCCCATTCTATTTTTTCTAATACTTCACAGGATCATTCTGATCTTTCTTCTTGACAGCACTTACCGACCTTTCTAAATCACCCCACTAGATTATAAACTCTTTGAGGACAAGGATATACTTAAATTCTAATGACACTCACTCCTAATAGTGTAAAGGAATCATCTTATTTTGTGCTTCCCACAGCTCTGAGCATGGTCCCTTGTGCATCCCTGTGCTTACGAAAAACAAGAATGAATATATACGTGAAATGCACCTTGAAGAACGTTATTTACTCTCCCTCCCAAATTCTTCTTTTCTACATCAGAGGTTCTAGTAAAGGGCCAGATAGTAAATATTTTAGACTCTTAAGGCCTGGTGCTCTCTGCTGCATACTGTATTTATTTTAGTTTACAGCCCTTTAAACACAGGAAAGCCATTTTTAGTTTGCTGGCCATGGTATAAACAGCCCATGGGCGGGATTGGGTCCACCATCTGCGAAGTTGCCAGCCGCTGATCTAGAGGCAATAACAGGAGGCCCTCAAGTTCTAGACTTGGTTTCTAGAATTCTTCTAATTCTGGTTAGCCTCCCATGGAAATTCCCTAAATTAATAAACTTCCCCTGAAAACAGAGTCTCAAATGAGACCCCTCTGCCTAGTGGTGGTTGGTGTGACTGAACCTGACACAATCACCTTTCAGTTCAAGAGTTTATTCTGTTTTGTTTTATTTTGTTATATTTTATTTTATTTTTTTCAGAGAGGAAGAGAGAGGGATAGAGAGTTAGAAACATCGATGAGAGAGAAACATCGATCAGCTGTCTTCTGTACACCCCCTACTGGGGATGTGCCCACAACTAAGGTACGTGCCCTTGGCCGGAATCGAACCTGGGACCTTTCAGTCCACAGA